CGGGCAAGGGGCAGAGAGCTGCTGCCACTGACTGACCAGCTCACCCTGCTCTGTTTTTTCTAGGGGAAGCAATCCAGCTGACCCCCCGTCCGTCACGGCAATGCGCAAGCTCGAAGCGAGCATCATCGACGAGTGGGTGAAATCTGTGAGGGGGGAAAGAGCGCGGGAGCAGCGCCCGGGAGGCCCAGTGGGCCGATGGCTGTGAGTGCGGCCGTCCCCACGGCCTCTGGCCCGGGAGCGAGGCGCCGCCGGGACCCAGAAAGGCAGGAGCTGCTGAGCTGTGCCTGGAAAAGCATTTTCTCCTCTGCCCTGGCAGCGGAAATTCCCCTTTCTGAAGTGTCGCACCAGCTCCCAGTCAAGCATCAAGAGAAAAGCAAAAGGCTGGATCGCTGCCTGAAGCCAAAGCTGCGCTCTGTGGGTTTCACGCTCGCCTGCTCGAGATGAGCTGTCAGTAATGATGGAAATCATAATAAAAGCTTGCCTGGATTCACTGTCCTGAATAGTGCAGTTCTAGGAGGCAGCCTACAGTTGAAGCTAAGATTATTTTTAGACAAAAAGTAAGTATTAGAGGTCTAGTGGAAAGGCAGAGGTGTGGCCATTACTCGCACGGGTTCACAGGGGACTCCGCGGTGACCAGTTCAGTATCAGCGGGTTTGGTTGACTTTTTTAACTCATACAAGAGATCTCTGCGAGCCAAACGCTTACACAAAGTAACCCCGGGGTGTCCTGCTGTCACTCAAGAGTTGTGTGTTAGTGACAGTAAAGCACATTTCCACTCAAGACATCTTTAGATCTTTTTAAAATAAATTACAAGTTTATTAAAGGTGTGATACAATTTCATGGCTTGGTAGTAGAACCAAAGAAGATAAAAAAAGGATACTTCTCACCTCTCCAGGTAGAGTAAACTCAACTTTGCACATAAACAGGTGGGTTCTTACCTACTGGAATGACTATGCACCAATAAATACTGGCATCATTGCAAAAATATGAAAACCTGGTAATCAAGCGGCTGCCTCAGTTGATCCATTTACAACGGTTTTAGGAGTTGGCGGAGAAGCCTCCTGGGCCATCCAAGGCTTACACGGCTTATCCAGGCAAAGTCACAGCGTTGCTTCAGCTCCCGTTAACGCCGCTCAAACACGAGTTTTGTGACAAATATCTGCACTGCTGGGTCCTCCCTGCCGGCGCCTCCAACTGGTTCCCAGAGCGTTGACGTCGGTCACTGATGTTATTTCACAAAGTGCAGGGGCTGACAGCAGGTGTTTCCGCAAACCACCCGGCGCCTCTTCCCTGTTGTGGGCACAAAAGGCCAAAGCTTCTGCTCCCCACCCCTGCTGAGGAGCGCTGGGGGGCGAAGAGCAGGCAGGGGTGAAGCCCATCCATCCGGTCTTTCAGGTAAGTAGAAATAAAGAGCAATATGCAAGAGCTGATTAGCCAGACTCCAGCTCCCAGAGAAAAACCCTTTAAGACTGTCAGTGGAGCTACGACCTCGCCAGGACCCGCATCTTCTCCATGTGTGCTGCCAAAACCCCCGCCACGAGCTGCCGGCGTCCCTCCTGCTCACCCTCGAGTCAGGCTTCGGGTTTGCTGCTGCAGCTCTGGCTCACACAGCGCTGCCCCTGCCAGCCTTGCTCAGGCTGGAATTCACCCTCTCTGCTCTCCGCCATGACTTTTCTGAATTTAGATTTGCTGTACCCCGGAAATTATTCAGGACTGGCACCGCAGTAAAAAAAAGCAGGCAGCGGTGGCTGTGTCTGCAGCCAGGGTTACATCCTTCCTGCTTTTCTTCTCTAACAGCACCCTGAGCTCCCAGCAAGCAGCACCCTCACTGAACCAGCGCAGCAGCGGGGTAAAGCAGCCAAGCCCAGGGGGAGTCTTTTGGAAAGCAAGTCACCACCCCTGTCCAGTGGCTTGTCCTGTGCCCTTGAGCCAGGGGAGGGCCGGGTGTCTTTTGCCCTTCCAGAAGACCACGAGTCCTTCAACCCTCTTCTAACAGACCATGGCGATCGCAGCTTTTCCTCGTGCAGACAGGACGTGTCCCAGAGGAACGCACATAGTGTGAGGGACACAGCTGGTTTCATTTATAAGGAAGGATGAACCCAAGGCTTTTGGATGCTACAGCACAGGGATAAACAAGACGTGTGGGCTTCTGTGCAGGTGACAGATGAGCAGCGCTTAAAATAATCACAAAACCAGGCTCAAGAAACCGCGGTGGAAGACTGAAGTAAGTGCCACAATCATCCGTAATGTTTTGAAACCCTGGGCAAGGAAAAGTGGGATCTAAGCAGAATGTCCTGACCACACGGCGCTCTCTGAGCCAAAGGGAAGAGCCCGACAGCAGCAGCCACCTGCTCGTGGCTGACCTCCTCAAAAGAAAACTCAAAAGAAAAGTGCAAACGGAGAGCAAGTGACGCAGAGCACTGTGGGTGCCACCCCGACGCTGGTTTAAGAGCTGCACCGGTAGGGTTGTAGAGAAAAGGCCTGTTCGTTCCGTCAGCACGGACCAGCATGAGGAGCATCACCAAGCTGGGAACACGGCGCTCACACACCTTTAGGTCAGAGCTTGAAAACCCGTCGTGCAGACAGGCAGGTTGTCCTGGCAAGAACAAGCCTCCGTTTCTGGAGCTGGGTTTTTAGTGGAAGCTGAGGCCTCCAGCCTTTGCCAGGGAGCTCTAGCAATACTTCAGACACAGAAACTCCGATCCACTCTTCCCGAATCTAAAGTCAGGAAAGTCTTAACCCTTCTGTTGAAGCAACAGACTTGCCAGACAGCACCAGGGAGCTCCGTGGCACATCGGTTCTACCAGCCTTGTTAAATACACTGAGTGGGGCACTGGAAAGCAGGAGCTCAGTTGCCTGAGAGGTTATTTCTAGGAGTGCACAGCTGAAGGAAAGGAGTCCTGAAGGGCAGGAGAAAGTCACAAAACTGTGAGTGTGTTAGTTGGAAAAAAATTACCCTGTCTGCAGCCCTCATCACCGCTGCAACATCACATGGTGAACAGGAAACGAAGATTCTTGGCCTAGGGTTTGGGGCAGTAAATGCAGCCACATCTCAGCCTGGCGTGGAACGCTGGAAGCCTTGTTACGGGAAAAGCCACACGAAACAGAGGGGCCCATCAGCCAAATCACGGACCTTGCGAAGCTGCCACCTAAGGCCTCTAACAGGACTCCAGTTCTTAAAAGCTCAGAGATCAGAGGGTACCTGTGTTCCCATCCATTTCCTCAATTGCCTTGGAGCCAACGGGTCGGTATTTTTCTCTCAGCTGTGGCTTAAAGCCCCTCCTGTGCGATTTCTGAGTCCTGCCGCTGTGCAGGGCCCATTCCCACCCCGTGCCCCAGTGAAAGGGGAAGCCAACAGCTCCACGGGGTGGGGTTTCTCCGTTTTATTTTACCCAGGCAAGGCACTCAAGCTCTTGGAAAGAAACCGAGGCGGCTCTTTGTGCAAAAGGACAGAACCACCGGCTGAAGAGAGAGATGGCCTTTCCCCAACATCCCACCTAAGCACCAGAAGCGTCCCAGGACGCTGAGACACCCGGAGGGATCACAGCCCCTGCACTTAAGGCTTTGGTTCAAGGAACCACAGAGTGCTCGAAAGAAAACTTTTCAAAGACGTGCAAAGCTTCTGTTGCGCTGGGGGAGCACACACTGGAATTGAGGTGGGCTGTGAAGCTCAGAGACTAATCTGACACAACATATTACATTACGGAAGTAAAAATCAATTTGAAATGATCTTTGCAAAAGAAGAGGAAGAAGCAGATGTGCTTTCTCAGCTTGTTCAGGTTTGTGCCATTTCACATGTGACATGCGAGTCTGAAACAAGCATTTGGTCTCAAAGGTAGAGCGCTGAAAAATCTTACTTCAGATTTAAAGGACGAGGACAGCAAAGCCCCACTCTGCAAAGAAATTCAGCTTCCCTGGAAGAATTCGGTAGAAATCGGTTGGACCTACAGGCTCAGCTAAAAGACAAGAAGCTTCTTTGGGAAAGCGACGATTTATTATTCTCTCCTTCCTTTAACTCATTATGCAATTAGGTATTATTCTCAAGCCAATCATAAGGCAAAATCATCGTAACAGGGTCCCACAGTCCCATCGGTAGAGTCAGCTGCATTAAGACCTGTGTAAGACTTGAACAACAGAAGATTTTGGATGAGCATTTCCATGTGTTCCACCTTCTAAGAAAACTGTTTCCTCCGTAGGGCTGCCATACAGGTGAAACACCGAACTCTGGAAACACCTTAATGCAGTATCTGGCCAGGAAGGGACAGAGGAGGCTGATTCAGGATTACACCTCATGTGCTCACGAGCTTTCCCTGTGCCCAACCTCAGCAAGCAGCGTTCAGTCAGAATACCTGAGTCTAACTGATGCAAATAATATATAAAATGCACGTGTCCTTTCACTTGCGCTTCACATTATCTCCTTTTTTTAAGTTAAAAAAACACAATAACCTCTAGAAAATTAATCTATCGCTTCGAGCCAAACCAGCAGCAAATTCTCTTCCGCCGTTCACTTCAGCCACAGCTTGAACAGAGGGTTCCAAGGGCTCTGTCCCGCTGGCGCTCCCTCCTCCTCGCGCGGCAGTTTGGAACAAGGTCGGAGGATCAGCAGCAACACCGACAGGTTTGCTTCCACCTGGGATGACGTTACGGTTCTTTGTTTATTCCACTGCCCACCCGAAACACTCCGAGTTCGTAGGAGGGAACGGTGCTCTGAGTGTTTCAGGGAATCCAGAATAAACCAGGAAGCTGTAGGCTTGTTCCTGCTCTCCAGGGACAATCCTGCGCTGTAAGACGACTCGCAGCGTTCCCAATATTTAATGGGCATTTAGTTAAGACTTGACGTGAGCGAGTTCTGGTTCACCAGAGCCCCATGAATGTCGTGGTCCACGCTACAATTATCCTCTGAACCTCACCACCAACACCAGGAAAACCAGCTCCAATTGGCACAGCTCGGCTATCCCAGGACAAGGGATGAGGTTTAAGACTGCAACGACTTCCCCAAACTAGAGACGCCTTCCCAAAGGTTTTGCTTGTTTGTTCTACGCCAAAAAAAAGGTGCAACAGAGCATCTCTCTTCAAACCCTGAAAAATAAAGTGACTTGAAGTTCAAAATGCCGCCACAGGAAGGTCTACGGACACGCAGCCTATGCCGGCACCCAGATAGGGAGCGGATGAGCTTCTGTGTTAAATACGTATTTGTCAAGGTTGATTAAGTCTATGTCATCTGAAAACAGCAGAAACATGTATTTCAGTGTTTCCCCAAGGAAGAAGCTCTCCATCTTATCTCGTGGCTCTGGATTCCTGGGATTCTGGACGTTGTTAATGGAAGTATAACCACCTGTAGGAACCTGTGCCAAAGAAATAAATAAAAAAAAAAAGCAGAAATGCTGTATATTTTGATAATCTAAAATAAATTATTTTCATTTCTTAACATCCAGATGCACTACAGGAAGTAGTAGTAGTAGCAGTGCTAAGAAACAGATCTACACGTTTTTCATTTCATACTTGTTTTTCATTTACGTAATGCATCAGTTGCATTTTAAAAGGAACCACAAGGAAGATGAAGCAAAACGTCTATTTTAGCTTAATTTCAAAGGTTGTCACAGGGAACATCTCCTTGAAGTTTCCACACAAATGTACAGAAAGTAGCTCGTGCAGCGCCTACATCAGAGACTGTCCCGCTACCATAGCGACCCTCTCAAGAACTGACCACGGATAGTGAATGGCCACGGGCATCTCAGCCACACTTTTTATCAGAGCAACAGCTGCATGAGCACCACAATCAGAATGAATACAAAACCCAGCTCTTAAAGCATTAATACTATTTTGTGGCAATTGGGGAGGGGCAACCTCAACCAAAGGGTTCTTTCAATCCAGCCAGGTCCTCCCTAGGTTCTAAATTCTAGAAAAGATCACAGAAGAGATTCTAGCAGCTTGCAAGGAGACGTGGAGACGCTCTGGCAGTCTGCACACAGCTCCTGCATTTTACTTTTTAATCAATGTCATACAATTCTTTCCCTGAACGTACTAAGTAATGGATCTCAGACTGTAAGGTACTGTATGAATTCAATTCTTCTCTGTGTTCTTACAAATTTCCCTGTGGGTATCTGACATCCCTTGAAAGGTTTCCAAAGACCTTGTTAGAGAGCAGGTGAGCAAATGCAGTCCCGACAGAACAAGGTCATTATAAGCTGACCTTACCCGTGTGTATTTATTGAAGTTCTGCAAGATTTCCCAGCCCCAGTCTTGGTATTTCTTATCACCGGTGAATCTGTACATATAAAAAAGGCTTTCCACAGTTTCTGGTCGAAGTAAGTTGTGCCTGTCTGCAGGCTGCAAGAGAAAAAAAGGAAAGAACAATTCAGACATGGAATTTCCTCAAGGACTATCCCGTTCGGTCCCCAAGTGTTGCCTGATCTAGTTGAGAGGCGGCGTCCCTGGCGGCAGGGAGGCTGGATTCAAATGATCTCTAAGGTCCCTTCCAGCTTAGGCCATTCTATGATCTATGACAATAGGCAGGAAGAAAATCCCAGAATGTTAGAGGTTGGAAGGGACCTCTGGAGATCACCCAGTGCCACCCCCTGCCAGAGCAGGGTCCCCCAGGGCAGCCCCACAGGAACGCGTCCAGGCGGGTTGGAAAGTCTCCAGAGCAGGAGACTCCACACCCTTTCGGGGCAGCCTGGGCCAGGGCTCCGGCACCCACACAGCAAAGAAGTTTTTCCTTCCGTTTAGGTTGAACCTTCTGTTTTCCAGTTTGTGACCATTTTCCTGTCACTGGACACCACTGAGATGTCTGGCCCCATCCTCCCAACATCTCCCCTTCAGCACTGATGAGATCCCCCCTCAGCCTCCTCTTCTCCAGGCTAAGTAGTCCCAGCTCTCTCAGAGAGATGCTCCAGTGCCCCAGTCACCCTTGCTGCCCTCCACTGGACTCTCTCCAGCAGTTCCCTGTCTCTCTTGAACTGGGGAGCCCCAAACAGGACACAGCATCCAGATGTGGCCTCCCCAGGGCAGAATAGAGGGGGACGATGACCTCTCTTGACCTGTGGGCAATGCTCCTCTTGATGCAGCCCAGGATGCCACTGGCCTTCTTGGCCACTAGGGCAAGTTGCTGGCTCATGGTCACCCTGTTGCTCCCCAGGACTCCCAGGTCCTTCCCCAGAGCTGCTCTCCGGCAGGTGAACCCCAGCCTGTACTGGCCCATAGGGTTGTTCTTCCCCAGATGCATCTACTCCTCAGCCTTCCATGTGTCACTCAGCTTCTAAACACACTACAGGGGCGATTAAAAACAAAGGCTACAGCTGGAGAGCGAAGCAGCAAAGAACGAGCTGCTGCACACCAGAGCACAAAACCAATATCCAGCTGGGAACTGCAACAGCAGAGCAGAGACACACAAAAACCATCCCATCACACTCAGCCCAGCGATCTGTTCACCTTGATTTCCACATCTTTGTGGCCCTTTTGTGCCTGAAGATTGAAGTGGACGATCTCTGGGCTCAGGCCCGTCTCGACCTGAGCGTACATCTGGTAGCAGGTTTCTATCAGGGCTTCGGCCAGTTCCATGTGATCGGCAGTCAGCCCGTTGTGAGCTCCCAGCGCCAAGGTACCCGGCAAAAAGCAAACCAAGTGGTCCTGCAAGACAAGACAACTCTTACTGGGGGAAAATTGCACAACCAACAGGTATTTGTGTGTGTGTTGCTGTGTCCCTATAGCCCTACACGTGTGTCCTCTTTTCTTTTTTCCCTCCTTCTTTGGAACACATTTCGGGTACCAAGAACTTGAGGGTAACTTCTTGAAAAATGTGGTGTAATGGAGCGCGAGGCAGGCAGCGTTATTACAGAGACAGCACCGACTTGGAAAAATGTACAAGACTGTGTGTTTTTATATCAAGTTCTGAAAAAAAGGTCTCGGGTCAGGGCAAGAGGGGTGAGCAGAATCACCTAAAGGTTTCTCAACAGAGACACCTCAAGGGACAACGTAAGAGACAAACTGATCACCTGCATTTAATTTTGAAATTAAAATGGAACAGAGATGGGAGTCAGCCACAGAAAACAATGCTCTGGAGAAGGGGGAGAGCTCAGCTGAAGGAGATTCTCCTCATTCTGAAATAATCACCTCGGCACTACCCTAAGAGCAACAACATCTGCAGAGATGTCGACACGACTGGAAGCTGCAGACTGCTAAGCCTTGGAGCACACTTCTGCCCGAGAGCTTGTCCCTTCCCTGCAACTTTTTTACCTGGGGTAATAAAAATCTCTTACCCCTCACGTCTATAGAACATCAAAGATGCAAAAGCACCGTTCCTCTAGAGAGCGTGGGACAGAGCCGGGTCCAACACCCGCCGCTGTCTCCTGGTGCTGCGGACACCGGGCACCTTGAACAAAACACCTTGGGCTCGTCACGTACGGATGGCAGAGGGCACCCAAGGGTGATCCCGTGAAGAGCACTCCTGCTTGCTTTCCCAAGATAAAGCAGCAGCAACAGAAGGAGTGCAGGGGCATTTCTTTCTTAGCTTTTACTTCCAAACCATTCGCTCAAAGGACAACAGGAGTGGAGTTACTTCAAGAACTGCGAGATGTTTGTAAACGATCAGGATTAATTTCATGGAATCAAAGAACGCTGGGGTTGGAAGGGACCTCTAGAGCTCACCCAGTGCCACCCCCTGCCAGAGCAGGGTCCCCCAGGGCAGCCCCACAGGAACGCGTCCAGGCGGGTTGGAAAGTCTCCAGAGCAGGAGACTCCACACCCTCTCTGGGCAGCCTGGGCCAGGGCTCCGGCACCCGCACAGCCAACAAGTTTCTCCTCAGGCTGAGCTTAAACCCATTATTCCTTGTTCTATTGCTGGGCACTACTGAGAAGGGATTGTCCCCTTCCCCTTGACCCCCACCCCTCAGATATTTCTCTATGTCAATAAATCCTCTCTCAGCCATCTCCTTTCCAGGCTGAACAGCCCCAGGTCTCTCCGTCTCTCTTCCCAGCAGAGATGTTCAGTCCCTTGATCATCCTTGCAGTGTTCAAGTTCCTTTAGTTAACTTTGCAAGAGAGCTCAGTCATCACAGTCCGTTGGAAGAACACATCAGAAAAGAGATTGTGCAAAACGCCCAAAACTCATCTGCAGCAAAATTCAACTTGCAATACAAGACTGACTGTCCTCCTCTGGGGCCTCATCTGCCACGGGTATGGTGGATTTAAGAATTACAGAGTCACGTCACACGTGGAGTTTCAAATGATTCTTACCATTCAGAATGAAAGCTCAGGTCTTATCACCCAAACCCAGAGTGTAAAAACACTCTGGTGCAGAAGCAGCACCTATAAAAGCTTTGTCCAGTTCTAAAGGAAATGGTTGGAGGTGGTGAAGGTCAACACAGGGGCAGGAGAAAAACATCCCTCGTTTTTCCCAGCGGCCAGCACAAGATATCCAACAAGCCTCTCCGCCAGCAACAGCTGGTTAAATCCCAAACCTGACTCCCTGGATCAGAAGCAAGTGGACCGACACACGCAGAAACCTAAATCTCTGCCTGCATTCAGCTGTCATCTTGGGATGGGGGAGCCCCTCTACCCAAACCCCGACTCTGGTCTCACTCACAGCAGGTTCTGGGGAGCTTTGGGGAAATTCCAATGCAAAAGGCACAACTGAACATCTCAAAAACTACAACAAGAGAGGAATGAAATCAAATAATACACTTAAAGCTCACTTCAGGTATTGAAAAAGTATGCATAAGGCTACACACACGCTACTAATACACCACTCACCCTAAAAAAAAAACGTCAGCCACACATCCCTACAACACTCGCACGACACCTTTAACTGGAAGATGTTCAAATGCATTTTAAAGAGTACGGATGCACAAATGAAGAGCAGGGAGTTACGATCAATCAATTTTCCCCCAGAGCAAACAGCACACTGTTCCACTCCCTAACCCTACACGTAGCAAAAGCAGCAAGTGTCATGAATGGCTGGAAGGTTGGAACCCTCCAAACTTAGATTTATTTTTTTCTTTACCCAGGAACACAGTATTAGATCACCTGGTTCTCCTGAAGGCACATCTGAAAAGCCAGGTGTGCGAGTGCCCAGGTGTATTTTTGAATTATGCAAAACAAATACTACATGAAATGGGCTTGTCTCAACAGTCTCAAAAACTGCAATTTTATGACTAAAGAAGTAAAAATTAAAAATAAAAAAGTTACTCCAGTACCAAAATGTTGAGTCTTACAGGAACACAAATGGATTTACTCACGTAACCCAAAGAGAAGGCCCCTGGTTTGCACAGGTCACTACCACCTACAGACTGAGTGCTGCCATCGCACTGGCTACCTACAGGACTGGCGCTTTTTTTTTCCGGTTGGTTCGTTGGGGTTTTTTTCCCTTGGAGGGGTATAAGGGGACAACCAGCACAGAAGCTTTGCATTTTCTTGTCCATATGTTGACATTTGTCGTGATGGTGTTTCTCCTGGTTTGTTTTGCTGTACTTTTCTTATGCTCACATGTACTTCTTACCATCTTGGCACTGAAATGGCCGTGAGCAAGCTCTCCCACAAAAGTCAGCCTCTTGGGTTGTGATCTCTGAAGAAGATGCTTTTTCACGCCTTCTATGGCTCTCATATAGTCTTCCAACAGTCTGTGAATTAAAGTCATTCCCAGTTGGCTCACGTATACACAGTCAGGACACACAGATACTCAGCACAATCCTTTCGGAGACTTATTTCAGTCTAAAGAGCAATACTCAAGCAAATGTGAAAACTGACAAAAGACCCTCAAAGCCACCATCAACTGGACGTTAATTAATCAGAGCTATCATGTAGCAACATTCAGTTCCCTTTTCAAGTAAACGCTAAATTCAAGTATGAAAGAAAACACCCCCCCACCGCTGTTTCTAGGCAGTGACCGTATTTTATTTCCCGAATCTTTAGCAGTACAGTAACTGAAGTCAGGGAAAATCTAGATCTGTTGGAGATCTCTCCTTCAACCCTCTGCCCAGTTACATCGGGTTGCCTGAGGGCTCACGCAAACAAGTTTTTAATATCCCCATCCAAAGGTGGAGGTTTAATTACTCTGAGCAATCTTTTCCAACGTGTGACCACTCTCATCGTCAAACCTCGTCTCACAGTAGTTAACTGGAACCTCCCTTGTTTCAGAGTACTTGTACGTGGAAAGAACCCTGTTGAATAACTCCACTTTGAGGCTGACAAAATGCGATTGCTCTTGGAAGAAGCGGTGATGCAAACTTTTTTTGTAGAGTCACCCCTGCTCTGATAGAACAAAACGCCTCAGAGAGGCAAGACTCTGCTCTGCGTGCGTTACATCCCTCAACACAAACAAGTCCAACACAAACAGACAAAAAAGTCTGAGCAGAATTTTCATCTTATTTTGGAGGAAAGCTCTTTTTCCAACATCTTTAAATCCCTTGCAAGGAGCAGATGTTCTCTTCTACTTACCCAGTGCAGTTAAGAGAAACATAAGAGACCTAAAGCAACATTTTCACAAACATTGAACTTCAGTCTCCTCTGCTTTCTAAGAAAAGCTATTCCTTACGGATTAAACCTCCCACCTCGAGAACCTTATGGGATTCAGCTCTCCCGCGCAAGAGAAAACACTGGTGAAGCACCATCGGTATCTCCAAAGCGTTTGATTATGCTCCACATCTGCTGCAAAGCCTTAATTCTCTTCTCCTGTCTGTAACACTCCTCACAGGTGATGTGCTGAGGAAGAAAGTTTCAAAACCTCAGAAAAGTTAAGCTTAACTCTCAGGCTGCTTTTACATCAAGTTACCACCAGGCTCTCTTGCCTGCGCAGCTTTCTTGCAAAAACTGTGACGTTTTCAGTCGACTGCCGGGCACGTGCGTTGTTTCTCTTTCCACAGTAAACTAGGACAGAAAGTTGCACAGCTCACGTAATTCTCACACCAATATGAGAAACGGAAAGAACTTACTCGTTTTCTTTTTTTCCACCCTGAATCCATTGCTTGAGCAAATACTCGTAGTAGCTGTCAGCTCGGGCTCCCAGAGTATAGACACCCAAGTGCGTGAACTGCCCGCTGTTGGTGTTTATGAACATGGGCACTAGTCCGTCGTTCTTCCCTGAGAGCGTGTGAACGTGCTTCATCACCTCATCTACAGCTTTCTAAAAGAAAGAAAACAGCAAACAAACGTGACAGGTATAAACGATGCACAACAGCTGGGCTAGTAACCTCAGGCCACTAACGAGTCTTCAGTGTCCTTCCTCAAATTAGCATCAGGGAGACCCAGTTCAGCTCCCGCAGTGTACTGAATACAGGATTTCTGACTCTCAAACCACGATGTTCTAGGTACATTTAAGCAGTTTGAAACAACTGTAGTTATCTCCTGTCCTTCAGGTAAGCCCACTCCAAAGCCAGCACTATGGCACAGGACCATGATTTGACTTATTTACTTTGTAACTTATTTTACTCCGTAACTGCTCATTTACTTTGTAAATACACAGTACAAGTCCAGCTAAAATAACAACCACCTGAATTCTGCAATAGCTAAAACTCCTTTAAGTAAGTGCACTCTTCAAAACTTGAGCTGTGGATACAGTTTAAAACAAGAAAACACTGCCAAACAAAACCAAAAAAGAGTGGAAAACATTCTTTCCTCTGGAATTACTTTCAATCCAACTAATTTCCCCTCACAGAGTGACCTGCTGTCCATCACATTTTAGTTCCTCGGATGGCAACACCGAGGTTTTGTTCCTTGCACTGAGATAAGGGCATTAAGAAACCGCACCCAGAATCCCAACACCACTAAGCAAGGTGCAGTTTCACAGTCTCCTGTGTGCCTTAATATTTTTTCAAAATTTGCTAACTTAGTATAAAACAAAAATGTCAACGATCAAAGAAAGCTGGGGAGGGCAGGGGTGGTGTTTGGTTTGCATTTGCTGTCATTTGGTTTTCCTGTTTGTTTTTTGCTTTATTGTGGGTTTTTGGGTTTTGTTTGTTGTTTTTTTCTTAAAATCAAAAACCATTTCTGCAGGAGAAAAAGAATTCTTCACCTCCACTACTACTTTTTTGGTTCTTAAGACAATAATTGGCATTACTTTGTTTCTTTTCCTTCCGTCACCTAGCACTTCACAACTCATTTAATATCACTTAAGAGCCTGTAGAAACAACAGGTATTGATGGAGAGTCAGCGGCGGAGCCGTAGAGAGGTGGGAAGAGAGAAAAACATCAACTGATTCTTCCATACCTGGAACTTCTCATCTCCGGTGAGACGAGAGAGCTCCCTAAACTCCAGCTGGATACTGGTCACCTCTGCCACCGTGCTGTCGGACGTCCAGCGAGGGGGATGTGCGGTGCCCCGGCCGATGTTGACATCAGAATAGGGGATCTTGGAGGGAGTCTTGAACGCTGGCATAAGCCTGTTCCCAATGTCTCTCTAAAGAAAACCCAAGAGCTCAGGACAAAACAACGCCAAAGCGAAAAATAACTCTATACACACACGCACACCCATTTGGATTTTCTTTTGCAGAGTGGACAGAAAAGGAGAGAACAGCGGCTTAGGTTTAGATGCTGCAGGAAAGGCAAGAAGGAGAAAGGGGCAGGGCCTGATCTGAAGGAACGACCGCAGAGCTTCGACCTTGTGTCCGCCGCTGTTGAGCCCGCGAGCCCCGCGCAGCGCAAGGCAGGTCTCGAGTCCCTGCCTGCACCTGGCTAATCCAAAGAGGTGCCTGATGCTGGTAAGACACGCGGAAAGGGCAACAAAAGACAACTGTGCCGGCCGTTTATTTCCTGTCGTGTTTCACAAACGTTAGTACGGTCAACTCTGCATCAGAACAGGCATGTTAGGCCTGATAAAACACAGCAACGCCCTGAGGTTATGCAGAGAGAAAAATGAAGCGTGGCCTTAAAAGGTTAATAGAAAATCCCTTTCCCACCACCTTAAACATGAAACTGTTAAAAACCAGCAGCATTTGTCAGTTCCTGACAGCCTTCACCTGTCAGGTGAGTCACTCACAGCTTTTTCCAGGAAGAGGCTGTCTCCAGAGAGGTGGTAGGTGCTCAGCAAGCCCCCCAGGATCCGAATAGTGCTCTCAAAGAGGTTCACATCCACATTTTTATCAAATACTAAATCGCTGGCTACCCATTGTCTTGCTTCTTCAAACTCTGCAAAGTACAAAACGTAATTCAGTTATGGACAGCCAGATTTGAGACATTAGTGCTCCACAGACCCACAACAGTTACTTATAGATGTTTACAGAGATATAATTTTGGTGGAAAACTACACTGAAGAGCACATGCTGGCTTCTTACTCAGCAGGCACCACATACGCAAACAGAAATATCCAGCAAAATAAAAAGTTCCTAGAAGTTTAAAAAATAAAAATAAAAATTGAGGAATTCTTTACCAAAAAAGTTCAGAAATTGAGATCTTTTAGGTCAATCCATTTGACTTGTCAGACAATTAGTTACACTTCCACCAGAGTCTGAACTTTTTAATTAAGTCTTTTTAAACCTACCAAGGTAACAGCTATTTCAATTAACAGCAATTAACACCTTCGGTCTAGGCAGCCTGCCTCCGACTTTGGCACTCGACCCACAGAATCCCAATTTTTTTTCTCCAGGAACAAAAATGGATGTTTATCACATTACTAATTCAAAAAGGAAGGCAACAAATAAAAATAAAAAGGAAGTCATTTTAGATTCAGCCATTAATGGCATCGTTCGACGATTGCTTCTGCCCAGGACCTCAGCTCATGGTGCAGTCAGGCAGCTCGCGCCTCCCACCGCGCAGGCTCCGACACCTCAACCTGTCTCACGCTTCCCGAAACTCCTGCCGGAGAGCAAGAGCAGAAAAATTTTTTTTGAAATGGAAGCTTTTGCACAGCAGGTTAACTCTAAAAAAAAAAGCCTCTTAGTCTTCATGAGAAAAAACCAAAAAACACGCCTCGGATGTTGGGTAAATCCTGGGTGTTGGGTAGAGCGAGATGAATCGCAGAACGACTCCCGCTGCCAGATGTCGGCGCTATCTGGAAGCAGAGCACAAGGGGCAAGGTTCTTTTTCTCAGACACGTCAGCACCCACCAGCGTACCAGGACTGGTGACCTCAAACAGAACTTTCATTTCTGTAGCATCTGTTATTCAGAACAAACCCCAGGAGCTTTCTAAGGCAACCAGCAAAAAAACTGCTATAAAATATGAAGTAGCCTTCACCGAGAAGCCATTCTCAACACATCTAAATAACTAATAATTTATTTTAAAAGCTCTGTGCAACTGCAATTAATTTTATATGAGGGGAAAAAAAAAAAAAGGAGCACACTGTTAACTTGATGAAACTACCAAGAAGCCTGCTCAGGCCTAGAGCTGCAGACACAGAGTTTTTGTTTGATTTAATATTTTACAGAAACTTCAAAGACAGAAAAGACAGAACCACGGAAGACTTGAACTGTTCACTGTCCCCTCACCAGCAGCTCTGCTCCTCCTACCCTGATACAAAGAATGGCACGACTGAAAGAGTTCCCAGAGGTGTAGGAGGCCCTGGGCAGGGAGGTTGGACTAGATGATCTTCTGAGGTCTCTTCCAACCCCGAACATTCTGTGACTCTCTGGCTCTCTACCAAGGGTCAACGATACCATGCCTGTACTTTTTCAATACCAGTAAAAAAACAAACCCTGCACCACTCAGAAAACCCCACCTCCAAAACTGAAACAAAAAACACCTTTTAAATATGGATTAAGCAAGGTTTTTGGAGCAGAATGGCAGAATTTTGGACTCGGTTTTTAAAATCTGTTTGATAGTTTTCTGGCATAGTCACTGCCAGCGTGACTGTGAAGTACACGTGGCAGTGTGGTTCAGGGTGGTGGCACTGACCACTCTCCATCCACTGAATCCTCACGGAAACAACCTCCTTAAATGCAGATGGGAAATACTGCCATGGGGTGCGATAAAGCACAGCCAAGTTGCTCCCAGGCTAACTAGCCAAGACTGCCAGGAAGAAAGCCTACAGTGGCTCAAAATTCTCTTTCAAGAAGAATTACTTCCTTAATTATTGTTGGGTGGGGGTTTTTATATTTATTTTTATACATATTGTTTACACATGTATGTATTCACCCTCACGGGAAAACAGAACTTATTGGCCACATATCATAAATGTTCCCCTCAAAGAACTCTGACCACGCACTGCCTCAGCGGGAAACAAGGAATTTATAGATTCACAGAATCCCAGAATATTAGAGGTTGGAAGGGACCTCTGGAGCTCACCCAGTGCCACCCCCTGCCAGAGCAGGGTCCCCCAGGGCAGCCCCACAGGAACGTGTCCAGGCGGGTTGGAAAGTCTCCAGAGCAGGAGCCTCCACACCCTCTCGGGGCAGCCTGGGCCAGGGCTCCGGCACCCGCACAGGGAAAAAATTTTTCCTAATATTTTTGTGGAACCTCCTGTGTTCAAAGGGGAAAAAACAGAGTAGGGAAAACAAAAAATCCATTACCGTCTTTTAAGCCTAAAATCCACATGGTGTCCAAGGCGTCGATTAAGGTAAGGCCAAGGCCAAACCACTCGCTGTAGGACCTGGACAGAGGCTTCAGCTCGTCGTGGCCCCAGGCGAAATCCCTGTAGCCCCTCCAGGCATGGCGGAAGGCTTCGATCACCGCCCGCTGCCGCTCGTTGATGGGCACTGCGAAGGGAAAACAAAACCCTGCTCAAGACTTCGCAGCCGAACCAGACACCGTTTCGCTGCGTTCTACCCAAAATAAACTCTCTTCCAAACCCAAGGATCAGGGTACAGGAAAAACCACCCTCCGAGCACTCTTTTCGGTGCAGCCTTTTCTCTGCGGAACAAGCAGTCAGTGCTTCTGGTCAGCAACTCAGGGATCAATCCCTGGCAAAAAAAAAAGGTCACTTCTGCAAATAAAATATTCAGATAATCACACGGACAGCTGTGAGGTGAGTATCACTAACGCTCAAAGACCTGACAGACAGGAAATACCTCAATTAAGATTGCTTAAATCAACCGGAATTCAGCTGCTGAATACAATCCAATCCTGGGCTAACTTATCCCACGCCATTTTTTCTTCATCTTTCCTGTCTTATTCATTGCTTTGTGCTAAATTTAAAATCAGTTACACAAAATGATTCCTCAACTGATATAAAAAGGAAAAAAGAAAAATTACATTTTCCAACTTGGGCAAAGTCAAGTCTATTTGTGTGGTTCTGCTGCAAATTGCTCGCGATTTGCCAGAAAATGGAGATCACAACACAACCAACGTGAAAACTTTTAAGCCCACTAGGAAGAATTTTGCAAAACTTGTAAACAAAGATTTCTAGAGCAGGAAACCCAAAGCAGCATCAGCAATCCCACATATATTAAGCAAGCACAAGCCAAATGCAGCACATTGTGATATCCTTGTACGAACCCAGAAACCAGAGCAACAGGTTCTTTACTCCACAAGGGCAACAACTGCAAAAACAACTTCTAGAACTTTCTGGCGAGACTTACAAATAGTTCGGTCGAATTAAGAGAGGAAGGCACTTCCCCTGTAATCGCAGAACAAAGGGAAAGCCACAGCTGGAAAAGGAAGCTGCCCCTTCCCCGTCCCCTCTCTTTCCACCCTCCTTTCCTGCAGATAAGATGGGAACGTCTGCCTCCTCCCAGCGGCTGCGTTGCAGAAGATTTGTCACTAAAATTTATCTTCAGATTCGGAAAGCTTATACCATGAAAACTGTCATGGTGGAACAAGGACACCGAGAGGCCTGGCTGTTCTCAGAATATCATCTTTCCTACTTTTTTTGCTTCCTTTAATTAAAATAAATAAGTAAATAGATGCACTGGTGGAGGAATTGCACAACGTCAACCATAAAAGTGAACAGAAATAAAGGTATCGTTAACTGTACTATTTACCTGGCTCCTTCTGGTCTTCAGCTTCCACAGATGAAGGTTTCTCTGGTTCCCTTATTTTACTAGATGGAGGCTCAGTGCTTTGGTCAGGTTCTATCACTGCTCCTCTCCAGCTGCACATACAAGAGGTTGTGATTAAGACTTGATTTAATCACACAAAGTCATGCAAATGGGTGAGACCTACCTGTGCATCGCACTGGTCGCATGATACTTGGACAGAACTGAAGGTGGAATTCGTATCAAGGATCACAATAACTCTGTTGCCCACTAAATAATTCTTCTGTTCAAAGAAACTAATTTGCACCAGAGCAATTTTGCTGGATTAAGAAATACGTGTTACGGGCTCTTGGCATTTCATTAAATATCTTGGCAATGGAATTTAATAAAGAACTTCTAAAAATAATTAGAAGACCTGAGAATGCTGCAGTGGAAGTATTTTGTTACCTACCAGCTCTGAGATGATTGCAGGAGCCACTAGCACTAAACAGTACCACAAAAATTGTGACATCAAAACAGCCCGACTGAGCACAAGGACCAGCCCCTTTACTGCCAAGGGGCTCACAAGCCTGTGAATAAATAGTAACTGATGCATAAACCAGTTTTTCCAGGTCTCTGTTAAGAGTCTCCTGAAGGAGAACCCGTTCAGAATGCACTTCACACAGAACCACAGAGTGTTAGGGTTTAGAAGGGACCTCAGACGATCTCTCTTAGTCCAACCTCCCAAGTGAAGCCAAGCTCACAGCAAGATTTAACAGTCTGACCATGCTGTTTCACAAACAGCTGTGTTAGCCCTGGGTGCAGGAGATGCCTCCTAAGGGAACCAGGCTTACAAGGTCTTTAAAGTTCATACTGTTTGCAGTCAGCAGCCCTTCCAATCTACATAAATCTCATTTCACTTCTTACTTTCATTCTTTAAATTTGTACCAGTCTTCACCAGGCTTCCATTGCTCTCCTGAGTCTTCCTGTTACCACCCGTTTAACTCGTTTAACGAGTTACGGTGTAAATGGAAGCAGAGGAATAAAACACTTGAAGTCCTTCTGAGAGACTTCTCGTAACATCAAAAGCCACAAGGCGGACGCAGGCAGTTCTGACGCTGCGATGAGTTCCGCCGCGCCGCTGCTGGAAAGGACGCAAACGCACACGGGCTTAGCACAGAGCGGCTGCCCGGGTCGAAAAGGTTCTGGGGGTGCTGGCCGACAGCGGCTGAGGCTGAGCCCGCAGCGTGCCCAGCTGGCCAGCAAGGCCAGCGGCGGCCTGGCCTGGAGCAGGAACAGCGTGGCCAGCGGCACCTGGGCAGGGCTTGTCACAGAACCAGAGTCACAGAAACACTGAGGTTGGAAAAGACCCTCGGGATCGTCAAGCCCAACCACTAACCCTGCTCTGCAGAGTCCACCCCTAAACCATCTCCCCCAGCCCCACATCTAAATGGCCTTTAAACACCTCCAGGGATGGGGACTCAACCACTTCCCTGGGCAGCCTGTGCCAGGGCCTGACTACTCTTGCCAGGAAAAATTTTTTCCTAACATCCAGCCTAAATCTGCCCTGTTGCAGCTTGTGGCCATTCCCTCTAGTTCCACTGCCAGTTACCCGTGAGAAGAGACCAGCCCCAACCTCTCTGCAATGTCACCTTGTGCTCAGCCAGGTAAGGCCACACCTCAAACCCGGGTTCACATTTGGGTCCCTCATGACAAGACACACACGGAGGGGCTGGAGTGTGTCCAGAGAAAGGCGATGGAGCTGGGGAAGGGTCGGGAGAACAAGTGTGATGAGGAGCAGCTGAGGGAACTGGGGCTGTTCAGTCCGAGCAGAGGAGGCTGAGGGGAGCCCTTCTCGCTCTGCACAACCTCCTGACAGGAGGGTGTAGCGAGTTGGGGTCGGTCTCAAGTCACAAGTGATAAGACAGGAAGAAATGGCCTCAAGTGGCACCAGGGGACATTTAGATTGGACATTAGGCAAAAGGGTTGTCCAGCACTGGAAGAAGCTGCCCAGGGAAATGGTGGGAGTCCCCATCCCCAGAGGAATTTAAAAGCTGGGTCCATGTGGTGCTCAGGGACACGTGTTAGTGGTGGCGCTGGCATCACTACAGGAACCGTCAGACTCCATGGTCTTAAAGGTCTTTTCCAACCTAAATGACTCTATTACACGACAGAAACAAGCCTGGTGTTACAAATCTTAAGAACTTCTGCTGAGCTTGTAGTAGTCTTGTCTACACCCAAGTCCCATCCCTTCAGGTACTCTCAAACCAAAATATTTCAGTCAGTAGTAACTTAGGGTAAATAAAATCGTAGCAGCATAGACCCTCAGTAAAAGATATTACTATATCTGCAGAGGGGAGTTTTGAACTGCACACTTTATCTTTCGTAAGAAAGGAGGAAGCATATCTTGTAGTTACTCGCACTCAACTGCCCACACATCTACGTCTCCTGCCAGTTCAGCCTGGCCTTACTGCCTTTAGCGGCTTCACGCCCCAACCGGCACCGACACCCAGGTCATCTTCCAGGCCAGGCCCAGGACACAGACACTCGTGCCAGTATTACTGTACTGATACTGGTACGTTAAAATTTAGTACCAAAAAAACCCGGCAGAAACCTACACACACTGAGAATCCTCTGGAGCATTAAGAGCGTTTAAGCGAAGGAGAAATACAGAGATATACATATATATATATATGGAGGGCTCCAAATCCCCTGAGGTTCTGCGATGCAAATAATAAAACCAGAAAAGGTGCACATTCATGGAAATTAAATGTATCATCCTGGCAAGATGGAGCTGTCAGGCCAGCCCCAAGAATAAATATAGGGAAGGAGAGAAATGAACCTTAGATACAGACAACAAAAAGCCCTTACAATTCTCACTGCAGCACCCTTGGTGAGGGGCAAAGGGAGGAACACCATAACTCGCTGGAAACATTTCTACCTGATAACAGATTTCTCTGTTTTGTCTTCTTTATCAGTCTGGACCGGCTCTTCAGGACCCCTGCTCGTATCGTGTCGGGTCTTCAGCCTCATGTCCCTCCGTGGCGGCCGGATTTGAAGATTGGAAGGACCACGCCGAACATGAGGCGGTTTGGGAGGTTTCTGAGAAAATAAATAAAAAACCCAGGTGCTTGGTGTGTTGCAGAGATAACAAAATCTCAAGCCATAAATCAAGAGCAATCCAGACAAACCCTATTTTGATATTGTATCAGCCTGCAAGTTCTGCCCCGAATGGAAGGGAAGCTAAAGCCCTTGGGGTTTTGTTTGTTTTAAATTCTCGGGAAAATTACCCAGTTTATGCTGATAAGTTAATTTAAATTAGGCCTACTATTGCCAGATATTAACTGAACACAAGGCACTACCAAAGGATTGTAACAGTATTTGATTCCATTTGACTAGGCACTGTAAATTTTAACTAGAATTAGCAAAAAGCACACAGGGGAAAAAAAAAAGCTTACACAATGCCAGTGCTGGGTAATACCAAGAACGGCTACGCAGCAATACAGGCACATTTGTGCACGACGAGGGAAAGACTGAATAGGAAATTTTTCGTTCAGTAACTGAGAAATTCAGGAGGTAACTACAGCAAGAGCAACACCATAACCAGCATCCCTCTGCTCCACGAATCCACGCGGTCAGTTCATGTTTCTCTCCCATGTAACCCTTCAAAACCCACCAATATCTCTTCTGGTTGCTGCTATTTTTCAAGCTACCAGCCAAGCTATTCCAGCCCAGCATCCTACAGCTCTTGCCCAGCCACTGCTCTCAGTCAGGCTCCTCAGAGCAGCAAGGCTGACACCCAGAGCACCGAGAGCCCAAACAAATTAATCGTCGCAGGAAAGTCATGCCTCAAGTAAGAGATGGCTGTGACCTAAAGTCCTGGCACGCATAGGTATATCAGGGATTAAGAAATACTCTATTTAATACTTAAATAAAAAAGATAAAGGCAAGAAATTCTATCCTAAAGCCCTTCCTCAGGGGAGAGCACTTCATCCAGAACGGGCTTATTGCGAGTTATAACTCCTTTCTCCTCAACACCTCTGGGAGTCAAGTATGATTTGCAGCTTTCACAAACTCTTCTGCAGCTTTATAAAACTCATTTCTTCTCACAGTACCTGTGGTGAAAGCTCTGGGTAGTCTCCACGGTTGGCATCTGCTTTCTGTGGCGCTGGCAAAACGGCTGGATTGGCCAGCTTTAACCCAGGGATTTCTGGTTCTGTTCTCTGATCATCCGAAGATTTGTTTGTTAGACCTAGACACACAAAACCGCTCAGCACAAGGGATCAACGGTCTAGACAGCAGCTAGAAATTTATAAGTTTGCTGCATTCACTTACTGGTTGCACCTCCAAAAAGTGTTTCCATTCACAAAACATCAATAAATACACACCAGTGGTTACTTACAAAGTATCTTTTGGTATTAGCACTCTCCCTAATAAACAAGGAGGCTGCTAAAAGGCACGTGGTTTGTCTGGGTCTTTTTAAACTGCTGTTATTTTAGCTTCTCAATACAGGCAGTGAGATAATATCAATGGTAAATGTGCCTTCATACTGTAAAAAAGCTTGATATATCTCACAGAGAATCAAAACCAAGAGAGGATTCTCTTAGGCTACCATTTAGGTTTGGATTACCAGTATCTACATACAAATATAATTCAGAAAACAACTCACAGCCTCCAAATCTTAATCAATTAAAACAAAGCGTTGCTCTAGTCAAGATAAACATGAAGAGGGATACGGAATATATTTCTGATTAAGCAGAAACAAGTCACTGAAACAGGTCACATAAAACCACCCCACCGCTGCACTTGAATGGATACACCCAGTCATTGTCAAGAAAAACTAAAACTAGTTGTAAGAACGACAACGCTCTCGGTACTCCCGAGCCCCACAGAACACGTACTTTTCCACGGCTCCCCCAGGCTTGTGTACGAGATGACTCCACAGACTGCCAGGGCGGCAAACAGGAAGAGAATGACACTTCGCTGCAGTCGAGACAGCTGCTTCCATTTCTTGGGGGGAGAAAATAAGTAAGAGGAAGAACATTTAGCACGGCATGAAGAGCCAACTCGGTCAAAACCGAGCTCTTATCGGTTCCTTCAGAGCAAGAAACCCAAAAGCGAGGAGGTCTAATTTCACCCTCTGTTTCCAACCGCAGGCGCCCATTGCTTATTTTCTTTGACGACAGAGAAAATGGAAATACAGCGCGCTACATATGGCACAGCAGGCTCGGAGGAACATCAGAGCCACTGCCTGTAAGAACTTCAGAGGCAGCCGAGCGCCGAGATTCCCAGCGAGCGCTGCCGACGGCGCGCCGGCTTTCCTCGCAGCCTCGTCCGCCTCGGCTGCCTGCCCCGGCATCTGCCCAGATGTCAACCGGGAAACGAGCCAAAAGCCTCTTCCCCGCTCTCCAGCCAGGGAGGTGCTGCGGAACACAGATGCAAGACGAGGAACAGAAGAAAGTGGCAGGAAAACTAAAAATGTTGCGGTAGCAAAGAAGAAAGGTTCCGAACAAGCTCAGCACCAGCAGCTGGCCCAGCCAAGGCTGTCGTCCCGCCCCTGACTAAGGTACGTGGAGCTGTCACACAGAACAGGTCCTGCCACCACCAGTCAGGCCACCCTCCCACAGCAACGTGAAAATGAAGTCAACCAACAGAACCACAAACAAGACAAAAGCACAATGTTTTCAAGCTCAGTCCTGGGCAAAAATATACTTTTAAAACTGCACTATATACAACAAAATCCCTAAAAGCCAGACAGCAAATGCTACATCAGCCTGAGAGAGGTTTCCTCCATTTGGAAAGCGAGCAGCTGCAGTAACACATTAAGTGCCAAACCACCGTCTTGTTGGCTTTCCAACAGTCCCGTCAAAACTCACCAAAGCAACATCTTACTTCTGACCACTGCTTTCGGCACGCAGAGAGGGCACTTCAGTGCCAACGCTGCGCTGCAGCTTCCTACAAACCATCGACACCCCACAGCAGCTCCCATAGTCCTCGTCCTCTCAACAACAACCAGAAGCCACAAACGTTTCAGGGAAGACCCATGGATGTGCTCACGTTGCCCAGCCCCACCGCACACATTTCCTGTTTTCCTCGCACGCTGCTGACAGCACAGGAATCCAGCGGAGCCCTTCCCACACACACCACCAGGTGCTGGTCCCATTCCTCCACCTTCAGCTCCCCCTGTGCAGCGAACCCTGCCATCCCCTCCCAGCTGCAGGATGCCTGAAAGGCAGCAGCCCTGTGTTTCCCCAGGGTAGGACAGAAAGAGGCGTTCAACTTGCGGTGTCTGGGGATGGGCAAGAACAAGGCACAAGAACACACGAGGGCATCCACAACTATCCTACCTTTTTTTTTTTTTTTGGTGACAAAAAATAAAGATAAAAGGGTGAAAACATCTTTCATCATATTCCCACATTTCCCTGTTAGCAGAGAGACCAAAACAAATTAGAACATGGGAAGTTCCACCTCAACA